CAAATAATTGCTAAATTGATAAACCCTATTTTAAAAGAATTGATATTTTGTAAACTTGGGACATTTTTTTCTGTTTACATTAAATTTTCATGTGTGTTAAATAAAAGAGGCATTCTATGTTATGTTACGACTCTTTAGACAATTAAATTATTGAACATTATGAATATACTGTTGATAAATCTAATATATATATTTTGGAATATAGCTTTATACCCTTTAAAAGCTTCAGATGTGGATGATTAGATGTTAAACATTATATACATTTTTGGCAAAATTAATTTTGACACTTTTTAGCAGGTTAAGGGTAATGCAAATAGGATGTTTCATCATTACATGTAAAAACATGCAGGATTTATTCATTCAGAGAGTGAAATCATGTTAGACTATATATATATACATGTAGCTATAATAATCTTCAAAGCAATTTATGGAAGATTTGGTGCTTTATGAAGCAGGGCTTTTTTCACAGGTTGGGGAAGCAGCCCTGCCCTTAAATTTGTGGAAAAATTACTAGGTAATTTGCAAATGGGGAAGAAAAAACTTTATGTTAATTAAATATTGATGAAAAAAGGCATGATTTTAAAGATTTTTTCTTTAGGGAAGCTGCCCTATAACGGGCCCTGCTATAAAAGGAAAAAAAAAGCCCGGTAAAGGTTTATGTATATATTCATTTAATGGTAACTGTGACCCAATTTATATTGGTGGAAAGCCAATATAATATTTTTATATTGTAAAACATTGTCATAATTTTTCTGTTTTGCCTTTTGTTAGTAGAAAGTGGTTTGCATAAAGTCCTTTTAGAAAAATGAAACATAGTTGGTCACAAATATATATTGGGTTACAGTATTTCTTTATCAACATTGATTGAATTTATGCATTAACCAGCTTTGTTTCTTGTCAAGTACAACTTTTTACCTTGCCATATAGCATTCTCATATTTACTTCATACATGTATATATATACTTTACTGAAGTATGATAAAAATAAGAGAAATAATATTCTAAAGGTTTAAAAAGGCTTACTTGTCTTTTTGGATTTCAGCATATGCATATTTTAAAATTACTTTTTTTCTAGAAATTGATATATTATGTTAAGTTCTAGTATTCAAATGTGCATAATTATTTAATTTCTATATCTTAACTGTTTTACCTGAAATGCAAAAGAAAGGCTTTCTGTGGTGTTATTTATTTATCATATATTTATTTCTGTTGTGTGTTATTTTAATAGACAGGAAGTCACTATTCTTTCATTTGAATGTTAGCATTAAAACAGTCTTAGGCTAACATATAAATGCACTTGCCATATAACTGTGAAGATAACGCAGGAATTTTGTGAAAGATATTGTACTATAATGTGAGAAAAAAATACACTAGTGCAACATTCTAGTGAAAATACTGCAAATGTGATAAAAAGCATATATAAAAAATATACTTAAAACTCTTGCATTACCAATATTTTCAGGTGAGTGATTTCTTTTCAAGATCATTTGTGAGTATGAGTACATGGCCACTGTTTTGAAGGCAACTTCTGTATCCATCGATATATATCAGTACATTAATATACACGAAAAAATATATTTAACACTTTAAATGAGTTTTGCATAATTACTATGTGATATGCTGAAAGCCAAAAATCTGACATCTTCTTTTAAAATGTCAGTTTCTTTTGAGCATCAAATGATCAGTAAGTGTTTATTCCAAAACAGTAGCAAACTCGTACTGAATTTGGAAAATATTTTTTGTTAATGTAATAATATATATACAAAAATAATCAAGTGGACTTCATTGCGGTAGCCAAGTTTTGATTTTGATGTATAATTTCCAAAATATGCGTCATTACAAAATGCAAATATATATGCCTTTTCATTTTATTTGCTAAAAACTTTAAAACTGGCATGTGTTCTTGCAAGTTGGATCACAAATATCCAAAATGAGTGTTATTTTCACATTTCTACAATATCGGATACATGCAATAAATGTAGCTTAGATATACTTATTTTGTTTGACATATTTATTTTTACTGTTGATATGTTAACATTTTAAACAAATCTTTAATAAACTACTGTTTATTATTATTGAGTTGATTTTTTTGCTTCTATCGCCTTACTTGTTCTTTATCTGACGTTTAAAGACAGTATTTTAGTCCTGAGTATTCAATTTGTCCTGAGTATTCAATTTGTCAATTCATAGGTCAGAATGATGGACATAAATGGCTGTACTTGTGTCTTTTTCAAAAAAAGGGGGGGGGGACGTCCGTGGCTGAGTGTCATTGACTTCAAACCACTTGCCCCTCACCGCTGTGGGTTCGAATCCCGACAGGGACTTTGGATTCTTTCATGTGAGGAAGCTATCCAGCTAGCTTACGGAACGTCGGTGGTTCTACTCAGGTGCCAGTTCGTGCCTGAAATAATGCACGGAAGGGCACCGGAGGTCTTCCTCCACCAGTAAAGCTGGAACGTCTCTAAATGACCTATACTGTGTCGGTAGGACGTAACTTCCTTTATATCTGTAGTATACTAGGTCCGTATTTCCCAAGTATACGAGTCATATACAGACTTGAGAAATCCCGTTTTCTGCAAGAATACATTTTCATATACTTCCTGTATATAGTTAGTATACTAAGTCTGTATATGTATGTATACTAGTCATATACTTACTTAAAAAATCCTGTATTCTATGAGTATACCAGTCCGTATATCAGTAGTATACTATGTCTGTATTTGTATGTATATGTGGCATATACTGACTAAAAAAATCCCGTATACTAAACGTATACGACATATATTGTATGTATATCTGACGTATACAAAGCCCGTACTTGCATGTATTCTTAACATTTACGAGGTCAAATATTCCCGTATTCTATATATACAATCCCGTACATTCCTGTATTCTATAAATATACAATCCCGTACATTTCCGTATTTTATAAATATACAATCCCGTACATTCCTGTATTCAAGACATATACAATCCAGTACATTTCCGTATTCTATAAATATAGAATCCCGTACATTCACGTATTCTATAAATATACATACCGGGAATTTCTTGTATTCGACTAATAAACCACTATTTTACAAATTTAAAGAAAAAAAACCTTGAAAAAAATACATATACAGGTTTTCACTTCCTGTATACTGCGCATGTATATTCTGTGTTCCCTAAACGGACTCGTATATTTGGTCCGTATATTAGGCATATACGTCCCGTACATGTTGAAAATACGGGACCGTATATTCCCGTATATTAGGGTCTTTTTCGCAGTTGCAGAGTGCTGCTTGGGTTCTAACCGGTAGGGGACTTATGGATTGCTTATAATACTATGATAATTGCTTGTTAAGTTTTTGTTCAGTTTTACTAAAAGAAATATTAATTCACTGTATGTTTTTGAAGAAATAAGTAGATCCGAACTTTAGATTTGGTTATTTCTTCCATGTAGATCTGATGACAACCGTACATGTTTCGACTTCTTTATGAGAAAGCTATTTTAGCCATGTAAACAAAGCATTAGAAGAAGTATCAAATTACCGTTATCCGTGGAAGTTAAACAAGTTGTTATTATTGTTGATTTTTGTTAGAAAAAACATGTTTGAAGTATTTTTAACAAATTAACTTGAAATAATAAAGTTTATAGCGAATAAATTTTAAAGGGCAAGATTGTGTTGCAAGTTTACCTTTAAACAAATTTTTTTTTCCTGTCGGCTTTACGGACAATGTCATGTTTGTTGTCGAAACAACTCGGTATTGCTTTTCCAAATTTAGAAACCGCATCGCTTTCAAAATAATGAAACCTCTTTCAAAATGGTTGTTTGAAAGTCCACGAGAGGATGACTACCTGTGGGTGGATGTCAGATCCTAATGCGTAGTATCATTTAGGAGCTGATTTTAATCAGATTGAGAAATAACCCAAAATCATGGCAAAAATACGGACAACTATAAATTGTGTTAGTGCGCCGTAAAACCAAACAAACAAAATGACACGATTGTAAATCGTCAATTCTAAATTTTATCCCAATTATATAACAAGCCAACAAGGATAACAGATTATTACACATTTGTTTGGGTGTTAAAAAGTGCAATTCTCAAAGCTCCTGGAACGTATGGTACAAAAATGGATCGATTATGATTTTAGATAAACGAATTTTTAGATCAACTTTCATTGAACGCCACCTTTCCTTGTTGATCTTGTTTATCATATATTATTTGGTATTTATACAGAAAATTGATTGATAACTCTAAGAGCGTTTGACACTAAAATGTATCAAATACGATATTTAATGCATATTGTCTGACACCAAAAACAAATACACTTTAAGTTATGAGCATCAACATACAGAATTTAAAGAAATTAATTATTGAAACAATAAAAACACAAGAAACATGGCAATGCCATGAAACCAGGTTTTCAATTATCACTATTGTAGATAAATATGTTGTATTTGAAATACAAATACAAGCAACAAACAATGTAACTATGTGCAATGTAAAACATGAATAATGTAGGAGGAATTGCCACTGAAGAAGTGTTCACTATAATATTATGTATAAGGAAAAAAACAAAGGGCCATAATTAGGTCAAAAACTATCCAATCACAAAACCCCGACAATATGTGCCAGGGTGCTTGATGACAAAGCTTCTGTGAAAGTTTGAACAAAATCCGTTGAGAAATGTAGGACGAGTTCAGCACAGAAGAATTTGTTCACTATAATTATATTGATAATTCTGTATAATGAAAAACAAGTTACAAAGTAGACATGAAATAATATATCATATCTTTTTTAAATTACCTCCAAAGATGATATGACCTTTGACTGCCAAATCAAGTTAAAATCATGTAAACAGGATTTTCAATGTTAATGTCACTGTGACCTTGACCTTGGTGCCAGCCATGCGGAACATGCGTTCTGCACGTCATCTTGATGTGGTAAACATTTGTCTGAAGTTTCATCAAAATTCTTCAAAGGGTTGAAGAGTTACAGAGCGGACAGGATTTTCAATGTTAATGTCACTGTGACCTTGACCTTGGAGCCAGCCATGCGGAACATGCGTTCTGCACGTCATCTTGATGTGGTAAACATTTGTCTGAAGTTTCATCAAAATTCTTCAAAGGGTTGAAGAGTTACAGAGCGGACACAATTTCGTTTGACGCCCGAAGTTAAAATCATGTAAACAGGATTTTCAATGTTAATGTCACTGTGACCTTGACCTTGTAGCCAGCCATGCGGAACATGCGTTCTGCACGTCATCTTGATGTGGTAAACATTTGTCTGAAGTTTCATCAAAATTCTTCAAAGGGTTGAAGAGTTACAGAGCGGACAGGATTTTCAATGTTAATGTCACTGTGACCTTGACCTTGGAGCCAGCCATGCGGAACATGCGTTCTGCACGTCATCTTGATGTGGTAAACATTTGTCTGAAGTTTCATCAAAATTCTTCAAAGGGTTGAAGAGTTACAGAGCGGACACAATTTCGTTTGACGGCCGAAGTTAAAATCATGTAAACAGGATTTTCAATGTTAATGTCACTGTGACCTTGACCTTGGAGCCAGCCATGCGGAACATGCGTTCTGCACGTCATCTTGATGTGGTAAACATTTGTCTGAAGTTTCATCAAAATTCTTCAAAGGGTTGAAGAGTTACAGAGCGGACAGGATTTTCAATGTTAATGTCACTGTGACCTTGACCTTGGAGCCAGCCATGCGGAACATGCGTTCTGCACGTCATCTTGATGTGGTAAACATTTGTCTGAAGTTTCATCAAAATTCTTCAAAGGGTTGAAGAGTTACAGAGCGGACACAATTTCGTTTGACGCCCGAAGTTAAAATCATGTAAACAGGATTTTCAATGTTAATGTCACTGTGACCTTGACCTTGGAGCCAGCCATGCGGAACATGCGTTCTGCACGTCATCTTGATGTGGTAAACATTTGTCTGAAGTTTCATCAAAATTCTTCAAAGGGTTGAAGAGTTACAGAGCGGACAGGATTTTCAATGTTAATGTCACTGTGACCTTGACCTTGGAGCCAGCCATGCGGAACATGCGTTCTGCACGTCATCTTGATGTGGTAAACATTTGTCTGAAGTTTCATCAAAATTCTTCAAAGGGTTGAAGAGTTACAGAGCGGACACAATTTCGTTTGACGGCCGAAGTTAAAATCATGTAAACAGGATTTTCAATGTTAATGTCACTGTGACCTTGACCTTGGAGCCAGCCATGCGGAACATGCGTTCTGCACATCATCTTGATGTGGTAAACATTTGTCTGAAGTTTCATCAAAATTCTTCAAAGGGTTGAAGAGTTACAGAGCGGACAGGATTTTCAATGTTAATGTCACTGTGACCTTGACCTTGGAGCCAGCCATGCGGAACATGCGTTCTGCACGTCATCTTGATGTGGTAAACATTTGTCTGAAGTTTCATCAAAATTCTTCAAAGGGTTGAAGAGTTACAGAGCGGACACAATTTCGTTTGACGCCCGAAGTTAAAATCATGTAAACAGGATTTTCAATGTTAATGTCACTGTGACCTTGACCTCGGAGCCAGCCATGCGGGAACATGCGTTCTGCACGTCATCTTGATGTGGTAAACATTTGTCTGAAGTTTCATCAAAATTCTTCAAAGGGTTGAAGAGTTACAGAGCGGACAGGATTTTCAATGTTAATGTCACTGTGACCTTGACCTTGGAGCCAGCCATGCGGAACATGCGTTCTGCACGTCATCTTGATGTGGTAAACATTTGTCTGAAGTTTCATCAAAATTCTTCAAAGGGTTGAAGAGTTACAGAGCGGACACAATTTCGTTTGACGCCCGCCCGCCCATCCGCCCATCCGCCCGCCATACCCCAATCTAATAACCAGGATTTTCAAAATTGAAAACCTGGTTAAAAAACGTTTCTGTCTCAGACAATGCTATCTACACTCGGGCATTTCAAAGCCTCTTTAAATTTTCCGATTAACACTTATTTCATAGTTAATTTTCAAAAGAATAACACAGGTTCATATGTGAGTTTATTTTTCAGATCACTCGTATAACACCGGTACGTGTAAGCTTGAAAGTGGAAGCCTCAATCTCAAATATATTGATACTGATCAAATTTTGATGCATTACTTTTTATGATAAAAAAAAAGGTTTTAATCGAAATTGATATCAAGAAACCTTCGACTTCATATTGTTTAATGATTCGAACCATGTGTTTGCGGAGTTTTAAAGAAGTAATAGAAATGTACATAAACAGCAGATACTGAAACGGAAATCATTTATCAATTTAATTCACTTTCAAACAAAACATGCTAAAATAAGTTTCAATTTCGTTTAAAATGAAATAGTCTGTTTCTCAATGCCACTGTGTCCTTTCCATATATAAAATATGATAAACAAGATCAACAAGGAAAGGCGGCGTTCAATGAACGCAAACCCCCACACGACCCATCACCAAGAACCAATGGCAAAATTAAAGAAATAAGACTATGGCAAAAGGGAAGATACTTACCGTATACGAGAAAACAAAAAGGGACACAAACAAAAGTGTCACCAAAACAGTATGACACAGAGGGGCGCCGCCTTGGAACCATCAGCAGCGTAAGTACAACTTGGGAGATTAAACCGGTTTATGGTGCACAAAACCTCACTCTTAGCCCCACCAGGTTTCCTATAAACGAGAATAAAATGAATCCCCGCCAAGTGACATTCTAACAGTTGTTATGGTTACAAAAGGTGAAATAAGTAAACAACACCAAACTGATCACGTAGAAACATATAAAAGAAAACCCAATGACCATAACAAAAGTACTTAATGTCTTAAAGGAAGACAGTTTTGTTTGTTTGTTTCATTTTACGCCTTTTCCCCAACAGTATTTCAGTCATATAGGCGGGTAGTTTCCTAACCATCGTTCATTGAGAGTTACACCAGTACTAGACAACTTTCCTCCGTGCTAAACTACCAAAGCATCTCCCGGGGATCGAACCTACGCCAGAGATAACTGGAAAAGGAAGGCAGAGCAACAAGGAAAGCACCTATAAGGGCCCGACGAAGCAAGACAGAAGACGAACATAAAAGCAATTCAGTCCCAAAGGGCTTTAAGAACTGCCCATCATAGAGTCTCCCACTTGGTCCGTCAAGGAAAGCGTAGTATAGAGCTACAATATGTTAGCCCCAAAACGCGTGTCTTTATTACCAAACTCTCTACCAGTTAGTTTATTTCGCATTCAAGTTCAAGTACTAAATATAATTAAAATAGAGAAGGGGCGTTCGCGGCCGAGTGGTTTAGGTCGTTGACTTCAAACCACTTGCCCCTCACCGCAGTGGGTTCGACAGGGACTTTGGATTCTTTCATGTGAAGAAGCTATCTATCTAGCTTACGGAACGTCGGTGGTTCTACTCAGGTGCCCGTTTACACGGAAGGGCACATGAGGCCGTCCTTCACAAGTTAAGCTGGAACGTCGCCAAATGACCTATACTGTGTCGGTGTGACGTAAAACCTAATCAAACTAACAAAATAGAGATAATAAGAATCCATAAAGAAAACCAAACACGTCAAAATTAAAAATGTTGCAGACTCGGTTTGATTGAGCCTGTTCATGGACGATACTGTCAAGTGCAAACTGCCGTCCACGCCCCCTAGCACCAGTCGCACTTAATCTGTATTGAGCAAGCGAGAGATAATTACCATGCACCTAATATAAGGTATCAAGAGGGAAGACGTGAAGCAATTTATAATAAGCTTTTTCTAAATAACTTCTGATTAAATAGAAAAGAACGGAGATCTAATACAGATAAAGACCCACGATCGAATAAAGTAATTGTATCTTTGTCCGCGTTTCTATTCAACAAGACGTTTTGTACTTCTAACTAAATGATAAGCTTCCTATCGGCTGAGGGTTGCCTTTACGGCTTGAGGCATCAGCATTGCAGTGACCGTTTATCCCTGCGTTATCGTAAGATGCGTGATCGTTTTAAAATGATTAAATCTGCTGTTCACTGAAAAAAACCCCCAAAAGGGGGGGAAAAAGGAAAAAAAAAAATTTTTGGGCTTAAGAATAAATTTTCAAAAACTAATTGGGAAGGGAAAATTAAAATTTGAAAAAAATCCCCCCCTTTTTATAAACCAAAAAAATTTTTTTAATTAAATTAATTAATTTTTTAAAATTTTTCCCCAAAAGGTTTAAAAATTTTTAAAAAACCGGGGTTTTTTATTTGTTTTAAAGTTTAAAAAAAAAATTTTTTTAAAATTTAAAGGGGGGGAAAGTAATTTTTTGACAGGGGGTTGAAAATTTTTTAAATTTTGAAAAGCCCCCGGGGGCTTTTAAAAAAGGGGACAAAAATTTTTTTTCAGAAATTTTTTTTTAAATTTAAATTTTTGGGGGCCCTTCCGGGGTTTTTTGGGTAAGGGGGGGGGGTTTGATTTTTTCCCCTTTTAAAAGAAAAAATTTTTTAATTGGGGAAAATTTAATAAAAAGAAGGTTTTAAAAAACCAAAAAATTTTAAAACCCGGGAAAATTTGCGTCTAAAAGGGAAAGGCATCGGTTTTTGCCACTCCCCCCAGAGTTTTTAAATTTTTACCGGAAAATTTGCCCATTTTTTTTTTAAAAGGGAAAAAAATTTTGGGGCAAGCTTTTTAAAACCTTTTTTGAAAAGGGGGTTTTTTTAATTTGAATTCCAGAGGGGCCCCGGTAAAAATTTTTTCCCCAAAAAAAAAGGAAATTTAGTTTTTTTTTAAAAAATTTTTTTTTGGCAAAAATTGCTATTTGAAAATAAGTTTACAAAAATTTTTTCAAAGCGTCGTTTTTAAAAATTTTTTTTAAAAAATTTGGGGTCCCCCCAAATGGGGGTTTTTTGAAAAAACTTTTTAATTCCAATTTTTAAATTAAGGTTTTTTTTCAAAAAAGGCTTTTTCCCTTTAAAATTTTTATTTGTTTAAATAAATTTAAATTTGGGGTTTTTGGGGCCCAATTTTTCCTTTAAATTTTAAAATTTTAAATTTTTTAAATTTTTAAAAAATTTAATTTTTTCCCCTTTTAATTTAAACTTCCTTTTTTTTTTTTAATTTTTTTTTAAAAAACCTTTTTTTTAAAAAATTTTTTTTTTAAAGAAAAAAAATTTTAAAATTTTTTTGCCCTTTAGACAAAAAAAAAAGGGGAAATTTTTATTTACGTAAATTATATTTAAAGTTTTTTATTTTAAAAAGGGCAAAAAAAAATTTTTTAAAAACCCAAGAAAATTTTTAATTTTTTGCCTTTTTAAAGGGATTTTTTAATAATTTAAAACGGGGTTGGTTCAAAAAAAACATGTTTAAATTAATTTTTTTTAAAAATTTTTTTTTAAAAATAAAAACAAAAAAAAAATTTTTTTTTCCCTTTCATTTAATTCCTAAAAAAAACGAAGACTTCCCCAAAATTTTTTTTTTTAAAAACGTTTCCGGACCCAAAGGAGTAGTATATTCTACAGTAATGCATCAATGACAATCATTACGGCACTAAGACTCCTTTACTCACTATTTACACGTTCCGCCGTTCTTTTCATATTTATCAGAAAAAAAAAACGCCTAAAGGAGATATTGTTGCCGAGAAGGTTATGTTTGAGAAAGTCCAGATCGGCTTGTTTTTCTCAATGGAATTATGCGGCTTCCTAGCTAAGTTAGCTTTACTTGTTTCAAGGATGAAGGCCCCGGTTTGCTATAAACGGTAGCAAGCACTATATCTTGATCCACGCAACAAAATATAGAATGAAAAATGAAAAACAGACTCTATTTCTTTTGTTTTGTGTGTGCCGTGCGTGCGTAACGTGTGTGTTAAAATTGTCCGATGTTTGTGAAAAAATGTTTTATGTTCTACATGTATTTATTTAGAAAAGTTGTTAAAACGTGAAAACCAAGTTATATGAAATTGTATAATTACAAAGTTCAATTATGCTTACAATTAACTCAACCACTTTTATCATTCAATATAATGGATAATTATTTATGTAATTGTTCAAAAACAGTAGGAAATGGGCTGTCGGTTTATGAGAGTAAATTTAATTGAGAAAACATTAGCTTGCAAGCAGCCTCACAGAAAATAAGTAAACAAAATGAATTATAACTTTTGTAATCTCAAACATGCTTGTTCCTTGATTTTTTTTAAACGCAACCCAAACCCAGCATCGCATGTTTTCAACATTATTCTAGAATTAAGTTGTCAAATTTAAAATTAATTGTGTGGTCTGAAAACTTAATTTTTTTTTTACGAAACCCAAACTATTAATATGATACATTCATTTTAATTTTAAAAATTTTTTTTTTTTATCTTGTCTGTGAAAAAAATATTATTAAAAATTTGGGAATTATTAGTTAAAAAAAAATTCAAAATAATTTTTTAACTGTCCTATTATATAAATTATATTGATACAATGAGTTGAATAAATTTAAAAATTCGTAGTTTAAAGACTTCAGGGATTTTTAATGGTTACCGCACAGTTATTCAATTGTAATATTTTGCTTGAATTGAAAAGCAAAATTGCTTGTTTTAAAACACCCCAAATACAAAAATTTATACATTGCAGGCTTGGCATATGCCTGTTTAGTGACAAAAGAAATAAGTGCTAGGCACTTCCATGCCCAATAGTAAGTTGTTGAAATAAGTTATTGATTAAATATTTAATTAAGATATTTCAGGACAACAATAATTGTAGTGTTTGTAGTTGTTTCAGTTTCTTCTATTTGATATTTTTCTTAATAAGTGATTTAATAATTCCATATTGAATAGTAAACGTTGCTTTCTTTAAAAATATTTCATATAGTGACAAATCGAATTTAGAATAGATAATTGATAAAGTACACCAAGTAGCCTCTTAAACCTTCAAACTCCCTTTTAAATTAATGATTGACCCAAAAGATCACTTTGCACCTTAATAA